AGTAAAGTCAAAGAAGAACTGAAGAAAATATGGCAGAGAAGGTGGGATGAAGGATTAACAGGAAGGTGGTTTTATAAAATTCAGAAGGCTGTGGGAAGGAAAAGAAGAGGAAGAAGAAGTAGGAAGGAGGAAAGAATAATAACAAGGTTAAGGTTCGGTCATACAGGGCTTAATTATTCGCTTTTTAAAATACAGAAGCATAAAAATGGAAAATGTGAGTATTGTGAGAAGTTTGAAACAATAGAACATGTTATTTTAGAGTGTTGTAAATATGAAGAAGAGAGAAGATGCATGTTGAAAGAGTGCGAAGGTAGTAAAGAAAAGTTTAATTTAATAGAATTTGTGAGGAGAGATCTGGGAAGTAGACATATTCAAATAATTATTCGGTATCTTAAAAAAACAAAGTTATTCCATAGAATCTGAGTAGAGAAAGATATATAACTATATGCAAGTTAGGTTATATAAGTAAGTGTGTATGTTTAATCAGGAATTAATGGAGGGATTAGGTAGAGAACGAAAGTATATAGACCATTTCGAACCACACTCCATACCGGTAAGTGGCGGTAATGCTACTTAAAGTTTTTTGCCAACCGCCAATAAAAACCAAGAAGAAGAAGAAGAAGAAGAGAAAAAGGCTCGCCAGTATCTGAGCAGTAAAAGCCATCAGCTGAGGGCTGGACGGAATCTTCTTTTCAAGCTTTAGTCTCGGTTACAACTTCCTTGTTGGTGACAAACCATGGGACTCTGTGAGTACAGCTCTCTTGCTAACATTTACACTTAAAACAACGATTATGTGATCATGAGAATGTCTTAATCATAGACATGCTGGCAGACGCCTCGTTGAGCAGACTGGCCTGTTACAGTGGTACGTCAGAGTGTCCGCCATTTTGAATGCGGCAGATCTGCTTGTCGACTAATACAAGGAAATGCACTGAACTTCGTAAAGTATCGTTCTACAAAGTGTTTTACGTTAATCTGGCATTTACACACAGTGATGTGTGTATATGGAAAACAAACTGGCACCAAAGACTTTTGTTTTTTCATTGAAAATCAAAAGATGAAAAGACGACTTGTCATTTCTTTATTCATTTTTATGTGGGGATTCAAAAAATACATGATTGTTTTCTGCATTTTTGACTTTAACCTCACATCAAAAATCAAACTTTAGAAAACTGTCCTGCGCACTTATTTGATTTTGATATTTGTTCTCGGTGTCAAACTAGTACAGCTATTGTACATGTACACAACAATAGTGTAAACTTCCTCAAAAGATCACCAGGTTGTTGTTTTTTTTATTGGCATGGTGACATTTGAAACTGTTTTGTTGCTGTACACATCCACAGCCAAAACATGGGTCACGCTGAACATGCCAAGCTTCTCATTCTGATCTAGGTGTAGTTTATGACCCATATACTCATGATGGGGGCAGGATTTAGATTCCAAGCACCCTTAATAAAGAAAAAAATTGTTTTGATTATTCCTTTTTGAAATGTTTTTTTTTTTTTTTATCCTAACCTGTGAGGACTGGCTCATTAAGGGTGATATGGTGGGGCAAAAATCTATTAATTTAATATTTACAAAAAAATCAGTCAAAAATATACGAGTGCTAGATTGGAGACCTACGTTGTGTATACAGTGAAGTAGGCTATTGTAAATTTAAGAATGCAACCAGTGCTCACTTGTCTAGCAGAGTCTGAGGATGAGTGGTGTACTCCCCTATGTCTGGTTACCATGGTAACTGTAAACAGACCGGTAAACAGACCGCAGCGGTCTATGAGGATTAACAGAAAGCAATAGTCCTACTCAGCACAGTTTGATCACCAGCTGCCACAAATGTTAACGATTACTCGCACCACCTGACGTTGGTATTCATGATATGGCTGATGAATCTGTTTCAAGACTACTCGCCGTTCTCCTGCCCGCACTCCCATCCACGACAAATGTCGTCATAAATTTGTGCACGTTCCTTTTGTGTTTCAGGTTGTGCACACACTCTTCTGACTCTTGTTTCAGGTTGTGCACACACTCTTCTGACTCTTGTGTCCGAGCTTTGTTGGATCCACGTCTGCTGCAGTGTAAAGGAAAGCTCTGCGCGTGTCTTGCCTGTCTTAAACAACTTTTTGATTAATGACAAGTGTGTTTACAGCGAGGCCATGGCATCGATATGCATGCAAAACACACACACAAACACACACACCCCACACACACACACACAAAAACTTCCAAGTCACACATTTGATTAAAAAAAAAATATATATATCAAAATCAAATAAGTGCGCAAGACAGTTTTCCATAGTTTGATTTTTGATGTGAGGTTAAAATCAAAAATGCAGAAAACAATGATGTATTGTATTTTTTGAATCCCACATAAAAAGGAATAATGAAATGACAAGAACTTTTTCATTTTTTAATTATTGATCTCAATGAAAAACAATTGAACGAAAGGTACGCTGACTGTAAGCACTAAACATTTATTCAAAAAAGTGTTCAATACAAAAACAACTGGACTTTATTTGTAACGGAAGACGTTTCGCTCCTCATCCGAGGAGCTTTCTCAATTCAATGAGCAGAGTGAGAGATTCAGGTTATAAGGCTGAGTGAGATAAGACACACACACATATGTAGATTGGCAATTCACACCTAAACACCTTAACAGTAAGAGTTTTTTGTTACTGCCAAGCCGGAAATATCCGACCCGCGCCGTGACAGTGGAAAAGGGGCATAATTCACAGATAAGGCCCCTCTGTTCCCATCAAGTGTGAAAACCAGCTGGGAATCTGTCTTAAAGTTGCATTATATGTTTTTGAAAGTGGAAATCTGAGGCCGCCTCCTCTGTTAAGAGACGGTTTTTCTCTTTTTACATAAATTGCTTCCTTCACCCCCCTCTCAAACCATCTGTGTTCTCGGTCCAAAATGTGCACATTTTGGTCCTCAAAAGAGTGTCCCTTATCTGTGAG